TCGGCATCAGCATCAGCGTCGGCATCAGCATCGGCATCGGCATCAGCATCAGCATCAGCATCGGCGTCGGCGTCGGCTTCAGCGTCGGCATCGGCTTCAGCGTTGGCATCCATGGTCGCTTCAGTATTGTCGTCGAGGCCGGTGCGATCACCATTACCCGCGTCAGCCGGCTGCTGGTCCTCGCCAAGATGCTCCTCAGCAGACGTGTTAGCAGCTGCAGCAGTCGTCGCTTCACCGCCAGCGCCCAAGGCGTCGGCAGCATCGGTTTGAGCATCTGTCTCGCCAGTGGTTAGGTCGGCGTCCAAGTCGCTGCATAGGGAGACATCGGCCGCCGCGGCCTCCGACGAGTGGGTCACCTCAGCAGAAGCATCCTTCGCCACGGCCAGAGGACTGGACCAAGACCAGTCGAGCTCCTTGATCTCGAGCCCGAGTATACGAAAGTCCGTATGCGCTCTCTTGAGGCTGGCGCTGCTTCCGGCTGCCCCAGCGGCAACCTCGGCATCGTCCAGGGCGTTCGAGCCTTGGGCACGCTGACGAGGAGCTGCGCTGCCGGCCCTTGAGCCGGAAGCGTCGGAGCCAGGCTGTGCTGCATTGTTCCTAGCGCCGTTCGAGCCTCGTGCAGCCTTGATGGGGATCATGTTCTCCGAGCTGAATCCTGGCTTTCTCACGGAACCGGTGCCGGAAGCGCCCGACGCGTCTGCGCGCCGAGTGTTCTTGTCACTGTGTACAGAGCTGGCAGAGGAAAGACGGCGCCCGGTGTGTGCCCCGCTGCCTGTGTTCGCAGCAGGGTTCGAGCCGGCGGGGGTCCTATGGTTTCCCGGAGGGGCGTTGGGACCCCACGCCGGAGTCGTGCCATTCTGGGTGCGCGCTCCACCGGCCGAGGCGATGGGGTTGGCTGGCAATCCGGCTCGTTGAGCAGGTGTGCCTAATGGCAGGTTGCCACGCTGCTGATTTCCGTTTCTGTTCTGGCCACCACGGTTCGCACCACCGGCAGAGCCTTTTCCTGAAGCACCCTTGCCTACAGATCCCCTGGAGCCCCTGTCTCCTCTGGCAGGGTTCGACGGAAGACCGACTCGACCACCAGCATTGCCGTGGATTCCGCTGCCAGAAGCAGCCCGTCCAAACGGGCCTTGCTGGCCTTGGAAAGGCGGATGGGAGTTTGGAGGATGCATGGCGTTCTGGGCCTGCCAGCCGTATGGCTGTTGGGACGCCGGATCAGGCAGAGGAGGGGCAGCGTAACCCCCCATAGCACCAGGCGCGGTTGCATATGGAGGCACTGGTGCTGACGCGGATGCAGAAGGAGCCGGGTAGCGGGGCTTTTTGTTAGGCGGACCTGGCTGAATACCTGGCGCATAAGCCCCTGGCCACGACGATGCAGATGCATCGTTGGGATCAGCGTTGGGCTGAGGGGGTACGGAAGGGCTGTAAGCGTGGCTCTGAGCTGCAGCATTGTGCTGATGCTGCGAAGAGGGGGCCTGCATGGCAGAAGGCTGGGACTGGTACGGATAATGCGTAGGCTGCTGCGGCTGGTGGGGGCTGTAGCCAGCCGCCTGGACGGCTGGAGGGGAGGCTGCAGCGGGAGCTGCCATGGCGCGATACGGAGCCGGCTGTGTCGGCTGGTGGGACTGTGGAAATTGGGAAAGCTGCGCCTGCGACGGTGGTCGAGGAGAGCCGTAGTGGCCGGCGGCAGAAGGACCTGCGGCGGCGGACTGTTGGGGATAGTACTGCTGCTGGTTCCACTGCTGGTTCCACTGCTGATTCCACTGGGGCTGGTGAGCATCAGCGGCGCCTGGTCCATTCAAATTGGAAGGCGGAGGGCGAACCGGCGCCACGGAGCCATACCCATAATTCGAGTATGCGGCTGGTGGGGAAGGTCCCGACGAGGGAAGCGGGGGTGCGGGTCCTGCAGGCGGCGGAGGCTGACCGTAAGCTGAAGCCTGGTTCCCTTGTGCCTGCGCGTTCACGCCGGTGGCATAGGGATAGCTGCGCTTCATGGCACGCCGATGCTATGACTGCGTCGAGCCCCTACAACGGATCTGGAAAGATGGGAGTGTGCGCGCCTCGCAGTACGGAAGGATGGAAGGAAAGCCGAAAGAATCCTATCAATCCTATCTGAGAGCCCAGTGATGATGCGGAGCAAGGACAGTTCAAGCGAAGTGACGCGCAAAGGTGATGCGATCTTGAGATGGATGAAGATTGGATGGAAGGCAAGATGTAGGCTAGGGGCAGGACTTGGGACCCTTGGGTGGCGCGTGTTGCTGATCGCTCAAGCAGGCCCGTGAGCTCTGGAAGGGGCCGCTCGCTTTGAGCCGGCCGGAACTGCTGAGCTGCTGGGCGCAGAAGCGCGGATTTCGGAAATTGAGTTGAGCAGCAGCCAACTCTGCGAAGCGCTTCGAAAGACGCGAACGCGGACGGGCGAGGGCGGAGGAGCCAAGAATGCAGCGCGCCCAGGTCACTCTACTCGCACCGTTGGGCCCGGACCCTGGCCACCGCACCGTTGGCAGATGAAGGTGCATCGGGCCGCGTTTCCTCCATGAGTGGACATCACCACAAGAAGGACGACGGACCAGCGCTGGACCTATGAGGAGCACCCCATAGCCGCAGGAACACGATGTGCGCTTAAGCTCAAGCTCTCTGCGCAGCTTTCATCCGATGCCAACCAGCCAGGAGCGTGTGGCATTCGCACCATGGACGGTCACTACGGCTGGTATGCCGGCCAGCAGCCCCCGTCGCAGCAGCAGCCTCTGCAGCCTGGAATACAACCACCGCAGGCTGGACCAGGCTCGAGTGCCCCTTTCAACCCATATGCACCATCGGCACCAGCATACCAGCAGGTCGGCTCACCTGACCGCCTGTCGCAACCGACGCACGTGGGTCAAATCGCAGCAAATCAGTCGCCGGCCTATGCGTATAAGGGCGATGGCAGCATGAACGGTCCAAGCTCTTTCGCCGGGCCAAGCTTCTCGTACGGTCAAGCGCAACTTCAGCACCAGCAGTCGTCTCCATATCCTCCGTCGCATCAGCAGCAGCTGCAGCGACAGCATCAGTATGGCAGCGCTTTTCCCCAGCCCACCGCTTCATCAAGCGGAACAGGCGCACGCCACCCGTCGAATGCAGCGTGGGAATACGCCGTCAACTCGAGCCCTCCTGTGCAGTCACGCCCATCGGCATCAGCACCGACGCCCCACCAACACCAGCGCCAGCACCAGCACCAGCACCAGCACCAGCA